CTGTGCTCAGGTGGTGCCATCACCTGTGTGATGAGGTGGGAGGGTCTCGGCTGTTTCCTGGGGGTGGGGAACGTGTGTCCCCCCATCTACAAAGCCCTGGCTGGTGCCAGGGAGGGGGCAGAGCTGGTGGGAAGGACACATACACATTGTCCCCACCTGCATGGATGGTCCCCAGTGCCAGGGGCCTGGATTGGTGAAGAGCTGCTTGGGTAAGTGTGGGGTATCCAGGGGGATCTGGACCTTCTTGTGGGGGGGGGCTCCCTGCTGTGAGCTTTGGCTCCAAAGCCCTCACACTGGGGCTGGGGGGTTGTGCAGCCCCCCCTTCCCTGCCCCATGTGTTCTGGGGCTGCAGAGAACCCCTCAGAGCCCCCTGCCAGTCTTGGCCTGAGCCTGCCGGTGTGGGGGCTGAGTGTGGCCCCCTTCGGTGGCCCCCAGCTCCCTGGGAACCCACTTTCCCCCAGGGGCTGTTCCTGAGGCCCTGTCACACACCCTGTACCCCCCCCTGGGGACATGTTGGTCCCCTCTACCACCCTCGAGGCCACCACAGCTGGTCCCCCCCAGCTGAGCATCAGGTCACCCTGGACGTGGCCACACACAGGCTGGGGGCTGGTTTGGTTCCCAACAAACCAGGCAGAACCAGCCCCACCCTCCTGTCCCTCCGGTTCCAGAAACCCTAGAAAGGAGAGCACGGGAGGCAGTGGGAGGAGTCCTGGAGCTTTTATTGAACACTCCTTGATGGAAACAATATGTACACAAGCCTGGCAGCCTCTACTTCTTGGTCTCCTCCTCCTTGGAGAGGGTCTTGATGATCTCCTCCTTCTTGGCCTGCAGACGTTCCTCGCGGCGCTTCCGCGCCTCCTTGGTCTTGGACCTGCGAGCTTCAGCCTGGTCCCTGTAAGCAATGCCAGGAGTTTGGGATGTGCTCCAGCTCACATCCCCCCCAGCTGCCAGTGGCACCAAGCTGGGTCTGTCACCGGGCACTGGGAACAACCCCCTGGCTTTGCTGCCTCCCCCCTGTCACTTGTTTTCTGACCCAGGAAACACCAGATCAACCAGCTTCCAGCTCCATGAGTAACCAGGCCCCACTCCAAGCCAGCCTGTCCCAGCTGGGGCTCAATTCTCCACCCAGACTCCAGACAGAGCCTGGAATGACCTACCTGTGGAGTCATTTAAAACCAAAACTTCTCCACACCCTGCAAGGCTGGAGGTTTTAGAGGCAACACTTACGCCAGGAGCTTCTTGCGAGCTTTGTCTGCCTTGAGCTTGTGGATGTGCTCCATCAGGATCCGCTTGTTCTTGAACACGTTGCCCTTCACCTTCAGGTACAGGCTGTGGTACCTAGGGGAGCAGAAGGGGATGGGTTAACGAGGCTGCCCAGGAGATCAAACCAGCAGGCAGCTCCCAGGCACCCCCAGCTCCAAGCAGCAGTGACCACCAGGGCGCGGGGAGGAGCAGGGTGGCTCTGGAGGGGGCTGCACTGGCTCCTCCTGAGGAGGAGGAGGCAAGAGCTTGTCTGCAGAGCTGCTGGGATGACCACGGTGCAGCTCCCCCAGTGCTGTACCTCCCAGAGAGGCTTTATTCCCCCCAGTCTGCCCACAAAGGCCTCGTGGTGCAGGCAGGGGGGCTGGCAGAGCAGCCTTACATGTGGCGGTCGATCTTCTTGGACTCCCGGTATCTGCGGAGCAGGCGCCTCAGGATCCTCATCCTCCTCATCCAGGTCACCTTCTCGGGCATGCGAGCGTTGGCTGTGCCCTTCCTCTTACCTGGGGAGGGAAAATGGCATGAGAACAAGGCCCAGCTTCTGCAAATTGCACCATGAGGTGCTTTGTCTGGGGCATTTCATCCCCCTCTCTAAGAAGAAAACTATTGATGGACAAACTGTGTTTTTAAGCCCTGCCACGAGACTCTTGGGAGAGTGTTCCTCAGGGTGAGCTCCCAGGGGGACCACACAGCATGGAGAAAGGCCATTCCTGGGATGCAGCACTCACCAATGCCCATGTGCCTGCCCTTCCTGCGGGCCAGGGTGTTCTTCCTGCACCGGGCCCGGGAGTGAACGGTCACCGGTTTGCGGATGATCAGCCCATCCTTAATTAACTTCCTGATCTGCTGACCTGTGGGAAGAAAACTCCACCTTCAACATCATCTGTGCAAAGAGAGGACACGTGCAGACTCCATCCAGTTGGTACCAAATGGATCCAACGCAGAGGATGAGCTGGATCTCCCCCCACAGGCCCCTCGAGCTGCTGCAGCTCCTCCTTCCCCTCCCACTCCCCCCTCACCGGTGATCTTGGAGGACACCGGGTACTAAACCTGCTCCCAGGGGCTCCGCAGCCACCACCTGTGCAGCTCCCCCAGTGCTGTACCTCCCAGAGAGGCTTTATTCCCCCCAGTCTGCCCACAAAGGCCTCGTGGTGCAGGCAGGGGGGCTGGCAGAGCAGCCTTACATGTGGCGGTCGATCTTCTTGGACTCCCGGTATCTGCGGAGCAGGCGCCTCAGGATCCTCATCCTCCTCATCCAGGTCACCTTCTCGGGCATGCGAGCGTTGGCTGTGCCCTTCCTCTTACCTGGGGAGGGAAAATGGCATGAGAACAAGGCCCAGCTTCTGCAAATTGCACCATGAGGTGCTTTGTCTGGGGCGTTTCATCCCCCTCTCTAAGAAGAAAACTATTGATGGACAAACTGTGTTTTTAAGCCCTACCACGAGACTCTTGGAAGAGTGTTCCTCAGGGTGAGCTCCCAGGGGGACCACACAGCATGGAGAAAGGCCATTCCTGGGATGCAGCACTCACCAATGCCCATGTGCCTGCCCTTCCTGCGGGCCAGGGTGTTCTTCCTGCACCGGGCCCGGGAGTGAACGGTCACCGGTTTGCGGATGATCAGCCCATCCTTAATTAACTTCCTGATCTGCTGACCTGTGGGAAGAAAACTCCACCTTCAACATCATCTGTGCAAAGAGAGGACACGTGCAGACTCCATCCAGTTGGTACCAAATGGATCCAACGCAGAGGATGAGCTGGACCTTCCCCCACAGGCCCCTCGAGCTGCTGCAGCTCCTCCTTCCCCTCCCACTCCCCCCTCACCGGTGATCTTGGAGGACACCGGGTACTAAACCTGCTCCCAGGGGCTCAGCAGCCACCACCTTCTCATCCAAGCACCGGGGGGCTCCATCCAACCTGCTGACGGACTCGTGGCAACTCATGAAGGCCCAAGCAGCTCCTCCAAGTGCCAGAATTTCACCTCCACCAACCTCTTTGCTCCCCAGGCGCCTCACGAAGCCCCTTCCCCGACCCACCCCCCCCAGGGCC